TTACAAGGAAATGAAGGGTACTATCACAGGGTTCATCCTGGCCATAAAAGCAAAGAGATCCGAAGGGAGATAGGTACCGGGGGTGGGGGGAGTACAGGAAGGCAGGGATTGGGAAGTCTCTGAACTTGAACTTCACTCATTATGGAATGTGAACATTAGAGGCCTGTCCCGGTAGGAAGCTGTCCTCAGAAAATGAGGAACTTGGAAACTGAGGCCAAACGGTTTCCACTGGTGAAAATGCCTGCATGTCCCTAGAAGCAAGAGCAGTACATGACTAAGCTTAATTAAAAAAAATATTTTGTGATGCTAACAGCCCTAAAGTTTCACTAGCTATAAACTAAATAAATAAACCATGGAGGCAGGAATTCCGGACAAAGTTAGCGGTAAGCACATTGCGATGTTGAAATTCCTTTTTAGATGTTGCTCGGTGACAGCCCACAGTGAGGCGTAGGCTTCCTCCTTACATAGCCATCTCTCTACCTTCCCACTGAGGTTCTAGGCTTATTTTATTGCAGTAGCTTCGTATCCAACACTTCCTCTAGGTCAGTGGTCTGCAAACTGTGGCTCTCGAGCCACATGCGGCTCTTTGGCCCCTTGAGTTTTTAGCAAAGGCCAACTTAGGAGTACCCCAATTAAGTTAATAACAATGTACCTACCTGTATAGTTTAAGTTAAAAAAAAAAATGTGGTTCTCAAAAGAAATTTCAATCGTTGTACTGTTGATATTTGGCTCTGTTGACTAATGAGTTTGCTGACCATTGCTCTAGGTTGTACCAAAATGGTTTATGGTGTCTTCATTTTTTTGTAGCGGAACCTGTATTCTTTCTAATGTGAGCGTATCCTCCAGGTCGAAGATGAGAAGAATCAGGACTTTAGTTTCCTTTAGTTCCTTCCTTGTTCTCCTAGCGCGGATTCTTGTCAAGCTGCTGGGAGCCTATTTCCAGGGCAGGCGCAAGACCTGAGAGTAGAATAGAGTAGTGGTGAGCTGGAGCCAGCGGTGTGGTTGTTGGGAATTTTGTAGGACAGTTATCAAACCCTAGCCATTATTAAACAATAAAGCACATACATTTATAGGTAAATGAGTTATTATTAAACACAAAGAGAGTATACACTAAAGACATGCTAGCTACTTGCCTGGTATCTGTACTGATTACTTCCCCTCATGCACAAAATGGTAAAAATGCTGCACATCGGGCTGTCCTGCATCTCTTCCCAACTCCACATCCAGTTGTGTTGGGCTGGCTGCTCCCAACCAGCCAAGGTGGGAGTGTTTACGCTGTAAACACAGCAAATTCCACAAATCAAGACCTTTCTCCCTGAAGAGCCTATTGTTAAACATTTCCCCTTTGGTCCACTGGCCGACGCTCCAACCACTGACCTATACCGGCCAGTGATGGGGTTTGTTCTTTTTCTACCTCCTTAAGTTGTAATGTTGGGTTTTTATTTGTATATGCCCTGGTTTCTTGAAGTAGGCCCGTATTGCTATAAATTCCTTCTAGTATTGCTTTTGCTGCATCCCAAGAATTACAGTATGTCATATTTTCATTTTCATTGGCTCTATGTATCTTTTGTAGTTTTTCCTTTACTTCTTCTTTGACCCAGTAGTTGTTCCATAGAATGTTGTTTAATCTCCACGTTTGTGATTTTTTTTCAGCTTCCTTCCTGTTGTTGGTTTCTAGTTTCATACCGTTTTGATCACACTGGATGCTTGTTATGATTTTAGTCTTCTTAAATTTATTACATTTGTCTTCTGTCCCAACATATGGTCTGTCCTTGAGAATGTCCCATGTGCATTTGAGAAGAATGTGCGTTCTGTTGTTTTGGATGGAAATGTCTAATACATCTACTCAGTCCAACTGCTCTGTGTCAGTGTTTCCATTTGGACTCTGTCTGGATGATCTATTCATTAATGATCTCTCCCTTTAGGTCTATTAATAATTGCTTTAGATATTTTAATGCTTTGAAGTTGCAATATATATATTTGTTGTTGTGCTTTGTTAATCCTCACCCAAGGATATTTTTCCATTGATTTTTAAAAGATATATTTTTTATTGATTTCAGAAAGAAAGAGAGAGAGAGGAAGAGAGAGAGAGAAACATCAATGCTGAGAATCATTGATTGGCTGCCTCCTGCATGCCCCACACGGGATCAAGCTCACAACCCAAGCATATGCCCTGAATGGGAATTAACTGTGACTTTCTGGTTCACAGGCTGATGCTCAATCACTGAGTCATGCCAACTGGGCTCTGTTGATTTTTAGAGAGAGTGGAAGGGGGAGAGACAGAGAGATAGAGAGAACCCTTCTATTTGTGGACTGACTAACCACTTAACCAAACTGGCTAGGGCAGGTGCTTATATATTAGTAAATGTTATGTCTTCTTGATGGATTGTCCCCTTTGTCATTATAACTTGTCCGTATTTGTCTCTTTTCCCTTTTTTGGTCATGAAATCTACTTTGTTTGGTATATATGTGACTGCATCATCTTCTTTTTTTTTTTTTAAATATATTTTATTGATTTTTTACAGAGATGAAGGGAGAGAGATAGAGAGTTAGAAACATCGATGAGAGAGAGTCATTGATCAGCTGCCTCTTGCACACCCCCTACTGGGGATATGCCCGCAACCAAGGTACATGCCCTTGACCGGAATCTAACCCGGGACCTTTCAGTTCCCAAGCCGACGCTCTATCCATTGAGCCAAACCGGTTTTGGCTCATCTTCTTTACTCTGGATACCATTTGCTTGGAGCATCATCTTCCACCCATTCACATTGAGCTTATGTTGCTTTTGTAGCTGAGAAGGGTCTCTCCTGAAAGCAACGTGTAGTTGGATTCTGGTTATTTTTTGTTATTTTTTTTTAAATCTATTCTGCTACTCTATGTCTTTTGATTGGTAGCTTTCCTTTGTAGGTTACTGTCTTTTTCCCCTTGGCTGCCTTGAATTCAGAAACTGGGCTAGCTGCTTTCACACAATTATCTAATATTATCCCGACTTTTACAAATGAATAAGAAACTGAAACAGAGCATCAGACATTTGCTCCAGATCACAGCGTCTTAGTGAATGTGTGAGCTAATTTAGAGCCTGGTCTTTTCTCCATAGCAGATTGCAGAAATGTTCATAAATGGACATGAATTAGGCTTTTATGGAAATATTTGATAGTGAGGACACTTGATACACACATGTAAAAGGCGGTATTATGTCCCCTATTCATTTAAGGCAGTGGTCAGCAAACTCATTAGTCAACAGAGCCAAATATCAACAGTACAACGATTGACATTTCTTTGGAGAGCCACATTTTTAAACTTAAATTTCTTCTAACGCCACTTGTTCAACATAGACTCGCCCAGGCAGTGGTGTTTTATGGAAGAGCCACCCTCAAGGGGCCAAAGAGCCACATGTGGCTTGCGATCCACAGTTTGCCGACCACAATCTAAGGAAGGAGCTGGAGCCCTCTAGGTCTTCTCGCACCCAACACCCTGGGAGAATAATGCTAACTGTTAGCAGGTGCTTACTGTGTATATTTTCCTTACACTGACCCATTTAATCCTTATAACAACCTGTACGAACTCAGTGCTATCATTATGCTTAGATGAGTAAACTGAACCAGAGAATCTTTGTCACAAACCGGTGGAGTAAGCTGCAGACCGGGAGCTGACCCCATGTGCTGCTCCTCTTGAGGCTGTGCTTGTTAACTGTTATATCACATGCCTTCTCGCAATAACTGATTTGTGTAAGAGAGAACGGGAAGGATCTGTCACATTGATTCTTATCTGCTTCTAACCAGGCTTGGAAGAATTTCTGCTTGTTGAGTACAATAGGAAGTTCAAAGAAATGTGATATAGAATAAAACAAATAATCCCCAATTCAGATCTTTCCGACCAAACTGGTAATTGCTAATAACCCCCTTTTTGCTCATGATAGTTGGTTCCATCTTTATAATTTTAAGGACAACCATAAAGTATTGATCCAGAAATTGAAACGGTAATGCGGCAAACGAGTGCGTGAGAATAATCCTACACAGATGGGAATGCTGCTGCTCCAGGATGAGTCACAGTCTCGGGAGACCATTGCATGCCTCCCCAGAGTCTGTCAGCAGAGCGATGTGCAGAGTGATGTGATTTTCATGTTCCAGCCTTCACATCTGCTGCGTGGCAGCTCGGTTATATTCCTCTCGAAGGAAACATCAATAAACATGGGGAAAGATTGCCTTTTTTTTTTTTCTTCTCTCGTTTCCAGGCTGTTTCTCTCTGTAGTCATTCTGTTGGCTGCACTGTACAGTCTCTCTGGGTGACTTGGTGCTCAGCATTTTCCCAGGATTTGATCGTCTTAGGATTTGACCTCTGCCATGAGTAATTCTACCAGGTTGCAGTGGTGTATTTCTCAAAGCCAGATTCTGCCACCCCTGCGAGATTGGCTCTTTCCTCTCTCTTGCTTTCCCACTTATCCACGTACCACTAGCTCTTCAATAACAGTAAGAACCAGGATTTTAAATGAGCAGTTGTTTAACCCATTTATTTTAGTTTTGTCATTTTTTTTTTTCATGAATTTGTGGAAGAATGAAGAGAAAATGTACAAAAAGTTTGAACTTGGCTTCATGTAGGTTTCCATAAAATCATAGGGAAGATAATAAATAGAAAAATTCATAGTAGAGATAGTAATGCAACTAGATTGAAATGTCAGCAGAGTAGGTTATTGAGAAGTAAACATGATAAATAATATTTGCATAGGTTAGTATAGACTCAATATTTTAATTGGTGTAAAAAGGTGTGGAAAATTAAAAGCTCCGACTTAGCTATTTCTACAGTTGAAACACACAGCTCTATACTCATAGCAACAGATTGTTTCATTATTTGTTTGTGTAATTGGTATCATCTGTTATCTAGTCTTAGAATAATAGGGTCTGTTGGGAGGGACTCTGGAGTCATTGTGGGAATTGAATTGGCGCTGGTCACACACTGCTCTGCTCTCTGGTTTAGAACAATCTCTTTGCTGCTTTTCTCAGGTGGGACTCTTCCCTGGACACTGTGTGGAGTTAATTAATCAGAAAGTCCCCCAGTCAGTGACCAACTCAGTGCCAAAACCAGGTGAGTATTTCACCAGCTGCTTAAAGATACAGGCTCTCTCTTTTAGTCAAACACGGAGCTTGTTTGCAAGACGTTGTATTCATCGACTTAGTATGCATTCTTTAATTTTATGTGGCTTTGATTTTAAGAGATTTTTAATTTCTCTATTGGTCATCTCACCAAGATTTATGTTCATTCAAACTTGTAGACAACTTTAAAGAACTGTTTGTCATTATTTGTTTTTACAATTATTGTACATAGTAGAAATATAGTTTCTTCATGAATAGAATGATAAAAGAAAAATACTTTCAAAGAACGGACATGGAAATAGAATGATTAACTAAAACTTAACAGATGAAGGGGATGTATAGTTAATCAGTGCTTGTGAATTTCAAAACTATTTTAAACAGCATTTCTTATATAGCATGTGTATAGTGCAATATAAATATGTGGAATTGTTTTACAAATAATTAAAGCAATGCCAATTTTTTTTTTGGGGGGGGGTGATATTATCTTGCCAAATCCTATAGAGTATTTAGTCTGGAACGTTTTAATGTGACAGTGTGGTCAATGCTTTGAAGTTCTTACAATTTAACATCACAAATTTATTGTGATTTCTTGTACACTATTTTACACAGTTTTGTTCTACAAGCTTAACTTTCTTAGCTATGAAGCCTCATCTTTGATCATTTTGCCTCAGAGACATACTATAAATTGAGTTTTTAAATATTAGTTTAATATTGGTATTAAACTGTATCAATTAAAAACTTTCTCGTGTTTTGAATGAGAAAGTGACATTTCTAATTGTGATAGCATCCAGAAGCTTTTAAAACGTGAGCGAGTTAATCAGTTATTGGTGTTTCTGGGAAACGGGTGTCTATGAATAGACTCGTAACGCATTGTTAATTCTAAAATCAGTAATGACGCAGAGTGACAGCACCCCTTCAGAAGCTCATGTCTTCTCTTCTGAGAGCAACATCCAGGGTTGTCCTGGGAAAATGTACCTTCTTGATACATTTTGTAAAGGACGATGTGAGTTCTGCCAGCCTCAGGCTTGTTTCACACTTTAAAACGGTCTTTGCCTGCAGTTTATTTTTACCATCGCCATCTGTCCCTGCTGGATGCCAGATCTGAGAGATGGAGCTATAGTTTGATACTGAAATGCAAAGCTCCCTATATCACCACACAACGAGGGTGATAGGAAACAGTTTCCCTTTGGAGCAATTCTTAACGTTCCCAAATGTTAAATTATTCGTGGACATAAAAGTAAAATTAATGGGTCACCGTGTCCTGTTTGGACTTTACTGAGCTTATTGATTTCTTTCTTCAAGTTCTTCATGCTCTCAACTATTATCTCTTCATTTATTTCTTTTGTGCATTTCTCTGTCTCCCTTTTCCTTTACACATCAGTGCTCAGTTATGTTCTTTGATATTGACTCACACATCCTCTCTTTCAGGTTTGGGTACTTTCTAGTGACCTGTCTTAGAGTTCACGGACTCTGTCCTCTGTGTAAGCATCTCTCAAGGCACCTAATAAGTTCTTACATTCTCATCTCAGTCATTTCATTTCTAGGATCAACATTGGGTCTTTTTTTTATAGTCTCCAAAGATGAATTCTCCCATCTTCTGATATTATTTACCTTTTCCTCCACAAAGAAAGAACGAGGAGTCGGGAAAGGAAAGGAGAGAGTGAGGACAGTGGGGGAGAAAAAGTGAAGACAGAATAAAAGCAAAGCTTACTCTTGACATATGAACTTCTAAAAATGAAGGACTAGGGAATTTAGACAAACCTTCCTTGAGAAGAGTTAGCAAATTTGGACCAAAATGAAGTTCTCTCTTTGAAGCATTTGAGAATGAATAAGGCAGTAAGCAGGTACTGAGTAAGGTTAAGCAGAAGGAAATCTTGTGGAGTGTGAGACTAGGAGATGGAAACTTTCTTTCCCTCCTGTATCTGCTGGTAGAGTAGAGAGAGTCATTGCTGGGGGAACAGAAATTGGAGCTCAGAGCCCAGGAGGGTGGAGTGGCTGATAAATGTCCCAAGCTTTGAGTTGAGATTTTTGTGGAAATTGAAAACTGATTCTAAAATGTAGATGGAAATGCAGAACCAGAAATACTCCAGACCATTTGGAAGAACAAGAAAGTGGGAAACTTACTATACTAGATACCAAGATTTATTGTTAAAGCTTCCCTAATTAAGATACTGGTATTGACATAAGGATTGACGGTTAGATCAGTGGAACAGAACAGAAACGAACATGTGTACACAGATCCTTGATTTATAATAGAAGTGGCATTGCCCTGCGTTGTCAAAAGGCAGTCATTTCAGTAAATGGTGTTAGGTCACCTGGACAGATCTGGTTCTTATTTAACCCCATACAGAAAACCCTTTCCAGGAGAATTATACATCTGCATATGAAAGATAAAACTACTGAAAAGTAATGCAGTAGACTATCCTCATGTCATATTTTCACGATCTTAAGTCAGACATAATTAAAAAGCTTAGTAATTAAAATTAAAATTAGAACACTGTCTTAATATGCTATAAAATAGTGAGGAAGGCTCCGAAACCGGTATGGCTCAATGGATAGAGCATCGGTCTGCGGACTGAAAGGTCCCAGGTTCGAATCCAGTCAAGAGCATGTATATTGGTTGCAGGCACACCCCTAGTAGGGGATGTGCAAGAGGCAGCTGGTCGATGTTTCTCTCTCATTGATATTTCTAGCTCTCTATCTCTTCTCCCTTCCTCTCTGTAAAAAATCAATAAAATATATTTAAAAAAATATATATAGTGAGGAAGGCAAATCACAAAGTGGAAACATACTGGCAGTGCATGTATCTGAAAAAAATGAGGCAGCCAGGCTGTGGAAAGAAGCAAATAAGAAGACAGATACACTGATATATTTTTTTTTAAATGACTGAAAACTTACACAGGTACTTCACAGCAAATGTCCCAAATGCTCACTAAGCATGAGATAAGATGCTCAACATTGTTCATCTCCAGGACAATGCAAGTTAAAACCTTATTGCCTCATGCACACACCCACCAGGATGGCTAACATTTCAGAGTAGCAACACCCAAAGTTGGTAAGGATATAAATCAGTGGGAATTCTCATACCCCGCTGGTGGGACAAGCATTCTTTATATACACTCTTAGGTCTGTATAGAACGTTCACGGCAACCTTATTCCTAATTGTCAAAAAACTAGAAAAATTCAAAGGTATGTCCGCGGAGGAGCGGGTAAATAAAGGCCTGCTTACTCAGTAGACTTCTCTGAAGCATGGACGAGTCTCACAAACTCGGGTGAGGAAGCCTGGTCTCCATGTGTAATTACACCATGGAGCGCCATAAGCAGGGAGAGTTCAAAGTCACGGAGCCTGAGCCTGTTCTGTGGTGGCGGAAGTTACACAGTCCTTCACAGGACCCACACAGTCTGCTAACAATGAGAGAAACGTAACAAGTGACCTCACCTGTGCCATCATCATCTATTCAGTGACAGAGCAGAATGCCTCTCAGTCCGCCATATATTTTAGCTTCTTACGTTGTTGAGCTAATTATTAGTCTCAGAGGAAGTTGCCAGAGCAGCCCAGAGGTTCCATACACTCAAAACACTCAACTTCTCTCGGATGTCACATCTCACACAACTATATAAGGCAGTACCAAAACCGGAAAGCCGGCATTGTCCAAATCCTGGTGAGCTAGATCACAGACCTCACTCTGGAGTCACCAGCTTTGCACACTCATTTTTTCTTACCCCGCATTTCCAGGTGGCGGAGAGAGTGCAGCCTTTTGGGCTTCAAGTTCAAGTTCCTGTTACTAAGTAATTCTGCAGAGCGCTGTGGAGGAGGTTTATCCCGCCCTGTGTTTGTATGTTGGGTTACAGGAGGGGATTATGCGTTGTGCTAAGTATTCCCAGGATAGCTTTTCTACTGCATGGATTTCCCCACCCCCTTCTTCTTCCTGCCTTTTCTTCAGCTTTCGATTTTCTTTTCCCTTGCCCTGGCCCCCCATCCCTTGACCAAGAAAAAGGTGAGAGGAGGGGTGCTTCTCATTTAAATGTCCACGAAAGAAGGGTGGTTTTGAGTCCTCCATCCTGAATAAACCTAAGAGCCCCATTTCCTACACCAGTAAAGTGGGAAGCTCCACAGCCTCTGCACTGGTCAGAGTTAACATGTTTTCTTTGTTCCTGCTGCATAGTAGAGTTCTCTATGGCCTTTCATATTTTAAAATCACATCCATTCACTGTTGTTGTTTTCCTCCCCCCCCCCCCCCCCCCCCCCTTACTGTGCCCTACCATTTATAAACAATTAGTATTCAGAGCTGTATGTGGAGAGGAAGGTAAGAGGAAGCCTGGTCTGTAGGGGAAGACTTGAGCAGGGTCCTAAGGATCTTAAGTCAGACAGCTCCTACCTGTGAGGCCCAGTAGGGGCTGGATCCCTCTGGTTTGGGATGCTGGAATCTGCTTCCTAGGGTTGTAATGAAGCTTTTTATAAAGAATGTGCACCGTGTAACGCTCCTGTGTCTGTTACAAACACGTTCCTCGATGGGGATTTACCTTGGTGTTAGTAAAAAAGTCATTTTGGAACAGAAAAGATGTCCATCTCTCCCAGTTCGTTTATTTCTTCCAACAATTCGAACAGGGTTAACAGTCCAGTGCCTCTTATAAATATTGACTCTCTCTTAAGTATTTACATAAGTCAAGGTGCAGTTTTAACAGTTGGTCAGTGTGTAAAGGAGGAGGCCTCACTCAGGAAAATTTGTTTAATTCTAGATTTTCAATTCTGGGGGGAAAAAACACAAACAAGCAACTTATATTATACCCTCTAATAGATGCTCAAGAGATTGCTGTCTGTCGGGGTTTTTCACACAGAGGCATTCCGAATGGACACTTTTTAAAACATGTTATTAGAACAACAGCTGCAGCTTCTTATCAGCAGAGATATGGAAGGGTATGCTTTCTTAGCCCACTGCTACCATGGAAGGAGTGAGCCTTTTACTGGCCATACTTCCTGCACCATCCATA